AAAATTTGTTTTTTATTTGCCGAAGTGGAGACTACGCGCGTTTTGTTTGTCCCATCGAACACTATTTTTGTGCAAAAGTTCAGATTGATTGGGAGCAGGGGTCATTCGGAAGTATATCCTTTTTTATATATTATAAAAAAATCATTTTGTTTAGTAAGAATAACAAAACCATCCTTGTCGTTTACTAACAACTTTAACAAAGAAAATTTCATAAATAGACGATTGTTTTCCGAAAAATATTAAAATAAGATTTTGTATGTTATTTATGTTTGTGTTGTAAGCGTGTGTGGACAAGGATGTTACGCCCCCTTACACTCCTCCGAAAAAACCTAACCTAACCTAACCTAATTTTGTATCACTACATGAGTGCGTTCGTTTTAGGTGCTTCCACACTTTAAGCATTAATCTGACTTTATTGCTCTTTAAATGTAGAAAAAATGGACACTCAAAGCGCATAAAGCGCCAAAACAAACGCATTCAATATCATTAATGTCACAATGCATAGTGCTTTATCTGTGTAACATTGTACATGTGCAATAATGTTCTATGCAAATGATCACAATAGACAATCGGGATCTGCGCAAAAATTTTTTGTGTAAACTGGATCTAGGCAAACCGGACCTGTGCAACTGTCGATCTGCGCAAAAGAAATCTTGGCTATCGGGATCCTCCCGTGACTGTCACAAAGCGAGCGCAGCATCGTTTAAGTTACGTTACGCAAGTAATATATCTCATGGGTCGTGTGTATACATATATTTGTGTATACAATTACAGTCGAACCTTCCAAAACGTATACAAATCCACTCTCAAAACATATATTTTCTCCTTCATCGCTTTTCCCATCACTAACAAGGGGACCTTCAGAGATGTTCCACTCCGATTTGGACGAGTCTTATATATATTGTAGGTGGACTCTCTCACCACATCGTGGTGCAATAATAGGACGCACCTCTCAAGCGTTCTCGAAAAAAACGCATTTAAAGTTTTCCTTGCGTGTAATATACCGTTAAGTT